GGTGGCAGGTGCGTGCCCCGCTGATGGGTAGCCGAGGGGCTTTAGCCTGTGGGCTGGCTGTGGGAGACATTGCTGAGTCTTTCTTTCTGGCTGTTCCTCCTAGAAGCACCTGGCAGTAGGCGTGAGGTGATCTAGCCTGGCTCCCACCGTAGCCTGGCTCCCTGGCATCTGATGATGAGTTTGACCCCCTCCAGGGGATGCCTCCTGGACCTGCCCTGGGAAGACATCTTGGTTCCACATATCCTCTGTCATCTGCCACTGCAGCAGCTCCTGAGCCTGCAGAGGGTCAGCAAGTCATTCCAGTCTCTCATCCAGCTGTACCTGGCTAACATGCGCTGCTTTGACTCAAGCCAGGTATTGGATGGTTCTGAGGCTGGGGGAGACACAGATGTCCTGCTGCTGTGGAGCTAACAAGGGAGCATCTGGCTATGTGGGGAGAAGAAACGCCTGGCAAGGAGGCTGGTTTCTGCTCAGGAGCTGGGGTTAATGACTTGGGTGTCAGACTGGACAGATGGGCTCAGGGAAGAGAGGCGGTGATTCAGGGCCCAGCAATGCCAGTGTCTTTAGCAAGAGGCCTTGGGAGGAGTGAGCCTGGAAGCTCCACCCAGGCCATTATGGGGCACCGGCTGGCAGAAACACAAGACAGCTCCAGAGTGGCATGGCCTGTCGATCCTCATGGAGGTTGTGCAATAGGGTGGGTCTGACCCGAGATAACTCTGTGCCTGGTGTTGAGGGAAAGCTTGTGCAGGCCCTGGGGGAGACTGCCTGGGACTTGGAAAGACAGGATTAGCTGCTGTTCTGTGAGGGCACAGGGTGGTCTAGCAAACAGTCTTTGGAGAGCAGAGGTGTGGAGCTTATCACAAGTGTATAAATGCAGGCATGATGACGGGGGATGGAGAAGCCAGAGCATCTCCTAGTTTGTGGTAGTAGCCTTGGCATGAGGGGAAGAGAGCCTGACAGCAGGGTTTGCCCTGGGCTGAGAGGGTGGCTGTGGTCACTGTTGTCATAGTGGAAGAGTGAAGGGGAGAGAGTTTCTGGTGAGCATCAGGCTGAGCCAGGCTGAACTGAAACCCTGGGGGATACCTCATTCTTCCTGGGTTCCCCACGCAGATTGGACCTGCCATCCCTAGAGCTGCTTTTGTTAACCTGCTGAAGGACAACGAAGTACTGCAGCAGCTGGCGCTCCAGAACTGCTCCGACTGGCTGACAGACAGGGAGCTGCTCCCGGTCATCGGGCAGAATCACCATCTGCACCAGATCCAGCTGAAGGGCTGTGCCCAGCTCAGCCGCCATGCGCTGGTGGCCATCTCGCTGAGCTGTCCCAACCTGCGCCGGCTCTCCCTGGCTCACTGTGAGTGGGTAGACAGCCTGTCCCTGCGCAGCCTGGCTGACCACTGCAAGGCGCTGGAGGCTGTGGACCTGACGGCCTGTCGCCAGCTGAAGGATGAGGCAATCTGCTACCTGGTGCAGAAGTGCAGCAGGCTCAAGTCCCTGTCGCTGGCTGTCAATGCCAATGTGGGTGATGTGGCAGTTGAGGAGATTGCCAAATGCTGCCCTGAGCTGGAGCATCTGGACCTCACGGGGTGTCTGCGAGTCAAGAATGACTCCATCAGGTACTGAGCAATGTGGGGGTCTGGGGTGGGGAGAGGAAGAGAACCAGAGAAAAGTCAGATTTCCTCATGCTGAAAGAAATGAGAGCTCAGTGTGGGGGAGAAGCCACTAGCAGGCCTTTCAAGAGAGGCACTGTGTGCTACTAACCATAAATTCCCCAGCGTGTCATGAAGGGTAGGTTTGGGATCTGACCACGTACCTTGAGTTTCTCTCAGATCACCACAGTGCTGCTCCCAAAGGATGGTGCATGTGTGGCACAGTTGTGAGCACTGGGCTGGTGGGAGTAGAGAAGAGGGTGAGTTGTGTACTCAGGAGTCCTGGCTTGCAACCCATGTGGGCTTTATCTCTTGGCAGGGTCCTGGCTGAGTACTGTCCCAAGCTGCGCTCGCTGAAGGTGAAGCATTGCCACAATGTGGCTGAGTCCAGCCTGAGCATCCTTCGAAGCCGTGGGGTGGAGCTGGATGTGGAGCCTCCGCTGCAGAGGGCTCTCGTTCTCCTGCAGGATGTGGTTGGCTTTGCCCCTTTCATCAACCTACAGATCTAGAACTGCTGCTGCTGGGGAGGGGGGACTGATGCGACATTGGGATCCCAGGAGGATGCCGGAACCGGCTGCTGCGGAGACGTGCAGAGGGAGAGGTTGGTCCCATTGGCAAGGCTGGCCTGAGTGGGGCTTGTTCTTCTCTCTGGGGCTGTTTAGCAGCCATTGGGTGTTCGTGAGTGGGCTTCGCTGGTGCCTCTGGGGAAAGTAACTCCCTCTGCAGTGGTGTGGAGACCGAGTGACTTGCGGGAACACCATGGTGCTGAACAGGCCTTGGCCAGGCCAGATAATAGATAGGATTTATTATTTGTTGTATTTTAAATCTTTAAGTGGCAGCTGTCCAGAGAGCAGGAGAGTGTTTGATGAGGACTGTCCCCTGGGGTGGGTGTGCAGGGTATGTCAGCAGAGCTGTTGGGAGCACACCAGGCCAGCTGGAGCAGAAAGGAAAAAAGGCACCAGCCCTCCTCTTGGGAGAGGGCAGGCCCCTCTGGTCTCCAGGAGGAGGGCAGAGTGAACCCAGCTCCAGCCCGTGGCCACTGTCCAGCCTGGCGCCAAAGGGCTGGCATGGCCCTGGCACAGGCAGCGTGTCTGTCCAGGCCTAGGGCACTGGTTTAGGCTGGTGCAAGGCAGGGGAAACATGCTCCTAACTGCATTCACTGACAGAACAAAACCTAGCTGTGCTGTCACTGAAAGGCAGTTGATCATTGCCATTTATTTCTTCCAGCTTCTGACTTAACATTGCAGTAGTGCCCAGGCCTGCTACTATATCCTGCTCTGTGTTGTGTGGCTGGAGTTTTGGCACTCAACAGCAGTGAGAAATGGCAGGAGTTCTGGCCATGCTGTCAGCTGGAGTTTTTATGGAGTGCTGCAGGTTGTGCTGGCAGGGAGACCCTAACTCTGGTCTGGAGTTCAGCCTCAGCCCTTGTATCCACTAAGTGGTTAACCAAACAGCAGCCACAGCCACAGTAGTGAACATGACAGAGAGACTAACTGGGGGAAGAGAGGATGACCCTGCTCCTATCTTTGGCCCCAGGAGGGATTGGAGGCAATGTCTTTAAAGCATGTGCATGCTCCGGCTGAATTACACACCAACTTATGTCATCTTTATTAACACTGGCACACTATTTAAAGCAATAGAGCACACGGGCTTGTAAAAAGCTTGCTGTAAAAGCACAAGCCACATCTTAGATCTAAAAATGTCCCATGCAAGGAATAGCAGAGAATACCCAAGCCCTGGAGCGCCACTGTGGTATGCCCCTGGGGGCAGAGGAACAGCTACATAAGGAGAGAAAGTTCTTCCTTGTCAACTGGGTTAGTTGAGGAAGCTGAAAGCAGTGTGCTGGCTCCCATGTTAGTTCCAGTTAGTGGCAGGTGGAGGAGTCCCCTCAACCCTAGTGCCACATGTCCATCCTGCCATGCCTGGCCAGTGAGGGGGGACGCTGAAGAGCGGGAGGAGCTGGCTGTCAGTGGAACTTGTACTTCCTGGCTGGTTTGAGGCTGATGTAGGTTCTCTTCATCTCCTCGCTCTCAGGCTTCTTGATGTCTTTGTACCTCTCTCCCTTTGTACTCACTACCTAGTTGTCGATATAGCGGATCAACTTCTTGGGAGCCTGGAGAGGGAAGACATTAACACCAAGTGGACAGACAGCCACACTGCTAGGAACAGGGAGGGGACAAGCAGAAGCAGAGCTCTGCTCTGGGGGACAGGTGCAGGAAAACTGATGTGGGCTGCTTTACCCATCCTTTGTGTTGGGAATCTTGGCCAAAACTGGGAAGCAAGCTGTCTGATGGGGTGGAGCAGGAGCCCCACTAGTCAGGAACTGACGGTCCCTGCAGCACCTTAGTTAAGCTAATCTTCCCTCTGCGCTGACTAGCGGGCTCTGTGAACGGTCCTGCCTTTGGCCTGCCCCTCTGCATTTTGGACATGCAGCCTGATTTTTAAACCTTGTAGCCAAAGGACATTGAAACTGGTGGTGAGCTGGGACTGCTCTTCGTACCTCTTTGGGTGGAGCTGGCCGATGTGTTTTCTGATCGTCTGCACTATCCACCATCATGTATCTGGAACACAAGAAGCATTTAGTGAACACTGTAACATGCATTGTGTGGGGCTATTCACAGCCTATGTCCTTTCTCCCCTGGCTGGTTTGTGGCTGCGCAATGTGTCCCACTTGCCTAGATTGCAGCTAGGAGCACTTAATGTTCCCCCCTGGATGAGGGGGGGACGACACAAGAAGTGTGTCATTCTTCTGGTAAGAATCCAGCAGGATTCTCTTGGAATAGCATCCTTGGCCTTATGTAAAGGGTACTGAAAACTCAAACTGTTGAGAAGGATGATAGCCCCTGCATAACTGAGAGAGGTGCTGAGGTCTGGTGTGCTCTGCCATTGGGGCAGCTTTGCTCCTTCTGAGCCCGAGTGATGCCAGCCAAAGGAGACAGAGGTGAGATTACAGGACCAAGCTGGCTGCTTCTGCCCTGAAGAGATGGTATTCCTTTCATACTCCACCTACTACTTGACTACAGAACAGGTGTGTGCTGGAAGCAACTTCATAAAAGCACCACCTCATTCCCTGTGTGACTGAAACATCAGGGCCCAAGCATTTGCTTGCTGTACTGCTGCATTACTACTCTTGAGACTTTGGTGCTGGTTTAGTAGGCAGACAGCACAGCTGACCATGACTTCTCCCTCAGTAGTTAGTTTAGTTGCTCCTGTGTATCTTCAGCTATGGTGATCTGCTCTCTGTACCTGTGCTTGAGTGATGTTTAAAGTACAGGATGTTGCCAAAATGTCATTAAAGTGAAGTTCCCAGAAACATAACTAGCAGCTGGTGCTTTTTTGTTCCCTTGCATGTTACTCTGAAACAAGCCTGCACAGGAGGTGGACAAGGACAGGGATTGCTAATTCTGCCTGGATGCCATTCTGCCTTGCTTTATCTTCCCTAGCCCATTGACTGTTTATTCTGTCACTGGGGAGGATGTAAAGTGGTGGAAAAGACATGGCTGGATAGACACGTGGATGCCTGCAGGAGGATACTCATGAAAGCTGAGATATTAAAGTGGATTGATGAAACCACAGAGTGGGTTCTCCTATTGAGAATTAAATGCTTTTGGAAATGAATAAAGGTAAACCAATCTAAAGCCATTTTCATTTCCAAGAAGTCCATAGGGGGACTTCAGAGAGGTTTCTTTAAATTCATTTAATTCACACCTTCAGCAACTGAGATTTAATCTTCCCCGTGCTGCTGTACAGGCAGTCTCTTAAAGATATCTTTAGTCTTGGTTGGACTGTCTCCAAGGATAGAGCTATGAATGAGTTCCTGTAGTTCTACAAGTCACCATGTGCTACCTGAGCTGCAGCACAATGTTTGTGCCTTGAACCTTTAACCGGGACTTCAGCTGACAATACTGTGATTTACATGACACCTGTAAGAGACTGAAATCTCACACATTGCCAGTGCTGTGACCTAGCTGATACTGGTAACCTGTTTCTGTGCCAGAGCTCTAAAAGAAACCCAGACCTGGTTTGTTGTTTTTTTCCCCACCTGATGTTTATATTTCTGCTTAGATGTGTTCAGCTATACCCAAATCAGCTTCACAGAAAGCTAAGCATGGTAACACCCCAAGTTCATTGTCATTCTGACCTTCCCCAAGGTGCCACCTCCTTTACTGGGAGCAGCGTAACGGGTTCTTTGTTGCTGCGTACTTACTTCTGTAGGATAACCTGTTTTAGTTCCTGGTGGTTGGGCACTCTGCGGGGCCGTGCCAGTTCCTGGGAGGAGACAAGGTGGATGTGTGAGTAGCATAACACGTGGGACGTACAGCTTCCCCTCTGCTAGCCTGGTAAGCCCAGCTGCTGGTCCAGCACTCCAGCCCCTGTGCGAAGCGGGGTGCCAGCCACAGCTCTGCGAGGGTGCTGGCTGGGCTGTGTGCCGAGCCTGTACTCCGAGCGCCACGGGAGAGGGGGGGGGTGTTGCTCAGGGTGATCCCCTGGCTCATTGCGTGCAAACTTCCTACAGTCAAAGCTTCTGCTTGCAGCAGGCACCTGGGACACCTGTGTGTCCCTGAGCTCTGCCCTGCTCTTTGGCCCGCTGCCACACGGCTCAGGGTACTGTACCTTCACACTCGCACCTGCTGGGCCAATTTCCACCTTCTCCTCCACAATTAACTGCACTGCCTCCTCCAAGTTCCCCAAGGCCATGGCGAGTGCCTTCTCTGCCTGGCTCATGGTACAGGCTGGGAACATCTCCAGTAGTAGCTCCACTCCATCCTTCAAGTCATCGCCCTCCTAGTTGGAGCAAGAGAGACAGAGGTAAGCTGGGGATGTAGTAAGGAGGGGGCTACTGGAAAGGCCTTCCATGGTTAAGTCAGGGAATTCAGCTTGCCCTTAGCTGAAGGGTCATTCTCCTTGCAAGCATGACAAAATCTCATTCCTGAAGCTAACAGGGGATTGTATCTTTGCAAGGACGAAGCACCACTCTTCCTTAATCTCCTCCCCCTGTAATTCAACTTTCTTTAATGTAGGGCTGCTGCGAACCGGCTCATCTGTGTGGCCATGCTATTGTGTTTCCCAAGGAGTGAGCTTTGCGGACACTGTGGTGCTAATGCTTGAACTCCCCCTCACCTTGTGAAGTCACATGTGCTTTGATCAGAAAGGGAAGGAACTGCTAAACAGTGACCTGTGGCTACATCAGAAGGAAGCGCAAAAGCAGCATTTGCTAGGAGGCCGTGGACACAGAATGACTGAGCTGCAGAGCAGGAAGAGATCAGTGCTGGAGAAACAGCAAGCACAGCGGGGGGCGGATCTGGCAGGTGCTGCAATGCCTGTAGCATGGGTCACGGTGAATGGTGCTGCAGGATCAGGACCGCTGGGCCAATGACTCAGTGCTGTATGGCTCAGTAAGTGCACAGCACAGAAGGTCACTGAGGGTGGGACTGGCGTCTTTGGGACTGACACCCAGACATGACTGCTTCCTGTGCAGATACCGCATGATAGCTGTGGAGAGAAATGGTGATCCAGCTCAAACAGGGGAGTGAGGCTAGGGGAACAGGATGAAGCAAGGTGGAGCATGGCTAGAGCTGCACGGGCATCCCTACAGTGCTGCTGTGGGACCTCCGAGCACACTGGGACAGGCTCTCTCAAATACAGCTCTGGCTCATCCTTTCCAGTGGCTGGAAAGGATGAGCCAGAGCAATGGCTCATACTCTTCTGTCAGCACATAATTTTCTTTTTCCATTTACTGACAGAGTCTTGCTCAGGCCATACAATGGAGAAGATCACAGACATCAGTGATGCTGTGTCACAGCCTGTGCTGTGGTTCCAGATATTGCCCTCAGGTGGTGCTGGTAGCTTAGTGCTCGGTGACTGTTCCCAGTGCTCCTGCTCCTCTGTGGGGTGCTCATACCTGGGCGCCAGCTCCGTCTGTTGGAGTGCATAGCCTTTCCCCGTTGCAGGTTCCGGCTCCAGGCTCCTGGCCCTTGGTCAGGTCTTCAGAGGTTGCTTCACTCCCACTTTCCACAGCCTTTTGGCCAGGTTTTTCTTAAAGACATAGCAATATCTCCTGAGGAACGGCCCCACTTAAGGCTAGGGCTCTGTGCTTTCTGTTGGCATTAGACTGCTAGTATACCGTGTGCCAAAGCAAATCCCTTGTGACAAGACTGGGAAGCACTACTGTTCCTCCTGCCCTTGGTGGGGACAGCTGCAGCTCTGCTCACACTGACCAGCAGGAAGGTAGTGCTAGTGCATGCTGGAGTGCCTAAGCGCTGCATTTCCAGGCCTTACCGGGCATGGGCTGCTTGCGAATTCAGTTCTACCTGTCAATTCTCAGTGCTTTGGCTGTAGATAGTTACGGTATTTTTGTTACATTTCTAAGAATTCCCTGGTGTTTGCTCTGACTTTAAACTAAGGTGTGGGTTTGATTTTTAAATTCAGGAATACACTCTGGTAGTCCCCAGGCTGTATGTGAGCCAGCATATCCTGTGATCAGGTTACTCTGATGCATCTCTATTTACAGGCTCTTTTTGTGTCACTGTAAGAAAAATAATTTCACCTCTGTTCTGTCCTCTCTAAAACTGGGATGGTATTGTCCTCCCACACTCTGGTCCTATCAGGATCCTCAAAGGGTTGGATGCAGGGGACCAGAGCAGAACAGTAGGTTTTGTCGAGTGCAAGAAAGCAGCAAGTAGGATAAGACAGGACGGTCTGTTCTGTGCTGTGTAGCCTTCTGGCTCTTGTTAAGGCAGCAGTGACATTCCTAGATAAGCAAACCCCAGACTGGTGTGTCCTGAAAGGTTTAATATCCATGCATTTCACCTGTCTGTTCTTTAGTGGAAAGTACCTTTTGGGCTGATTAATACAGCAGTCCAGCTGATCTGGGAATGCTGAGGTTAGAAAGGGGCACTGGGATAGTGTAGTCTCCTGCAGTCCTGCATAGTGCAAGCTACAGCACATCATTGCTGATTTTGCATTCGTGCCAGGGTTCATGGGTGAATGGGAAGTGAGTTTTGAGGATGCTCGAAGTCTAAAAGTGATACACATCATCAGCTGGATACTCTATTTGATGATGATGCACCTGACATGGGCTGCCCAGTGGTAGTGTCGCTTAGGCAGATGGCTATCAGAGGCAGGCAGAAACCCTCACTTTCAGAATTAACCTGCAGTACAATTTCAACAAGCAGCCCTATCTACTGTTTTTTCTTTATTACTCTGGATTTGATCTCAACAGTTATCTGGAGATCTGGTCCAGTGTTTTTCATCCCAGTGTGTCTTGGACAATAGTCCATATGACTCAAACCTCCCATGTATTAATATCAAAAACCCAACTGAACATTACACCTCCCCGCCCCCCCCCAAACCAGCAACCAATTCAGGCTACCCTATGAGATCCTAAATGTAGCAAACAAGATTGTGTTTTATCCTGTGACATTCCTCAACTCTAAACACTAATACTGAAAACATGGGACAGAATATACTTTCTTGTGCTGAAATTGTCTGTGTAACTCACCTTTGGTGCGAGCTTCACCAAGCCTTTCTGAGAGAGAGAACATCATTTCACAAACATCCCCACTGCAAGAGACAGAAGCTGTATAATCAGTGTGAGGAATAAAAGCAGTAGCTATCCTACTTGGCTACCTCTTTATAGAAAGGCAAGCCCAATAAAATAAACTGGTATTTCAGATGGCCTAGGACCTACTCGCAAACTATATTGGGATTAGCATTTCTGTATTCAGGCAAAGCATGACTTAATCATAATGGTTTTGTACTAATACCTCTTCAGGTGGGTATAACAAAAGAATTTATGCTACCTGGGGACTTGGGTCCAAGCCCCCAGCGCATGGCACGCACAAATAAAGCAGTAACATTCACATACCTGTGGATTTCTGCAAAACCAGGAATATATGCCTCCATCATTTCTACAAAGGTGTCCATGTCAAAGGTCTCCTCAGAGGATTCTGGTGACCCCAGCTCTTCCAGGACACCCGTGATGTAAGAGAAGAAAACATCATCCATCCCACTGGAGACAGAAAGAACACAGGACATGGCAGAAGGGTCAACAGGCCCATTTTTTTCTGGCTCTCCATCGCCATTCCCCCTAACCATGTGTCTTTCTAATAGAGCAGCAGAAGGACCTATGTGGACTGTATCTTATGGGCAGATCCCACCAGTAAAGCCAGGTAGCAGGTGATCAGTAGTTGAGTGGGAATAATTTACAGAAAAAATCCTGCATGCTGCCCTCCTTCCTGGGCAGTACTGAATGAAAGCCCCAGCGTGTGCCCTGAGGCTGTGCTCCTGTAGCTGCTTCAGCTGAGTTAGCCAAAATATTCCAAGTGCTCAAACCCTGACTTTTCTATGCAGACTGGTGTTACAGGTCAGGTCATCATATTCCGTCAAGTTGCAATTTCCATGGGGTGCACTGTGTCTCTGCTTGCTGCTCTCCACACTTGTGTGACTGCTGCCACTGGCTGCAAAACCAGCTGCTGTGTTCCAGCCTCAAGGTGGCCGTATCTCTGCATGCAGGCAGAGTTCAAAATAGGGAGAGCCCTGACATAGTGCTATGCTGCTCAAAAAGCCCTTTGGGAACACTGTGGAATGAAGGGAATCCCATATTCTAATGTGTATTACTGGACAGGAAATTAATCATCTTGGTTGTCAAAGAAATGACATTGCTAGATTGCAATGCTAAACGATAGTTGTTCAAGCACTCACATCAGAGCCTGTACAAATTACCTGCATCCTGAATCTGACTTAAGTAAAAGCAACACAAAGCACAGGAAAGCTACAAAGCTCGACCTGGAATTCAGTATAATGTGCAGAGGGACAATTACCACAGAGCTCAAGCTAAAACAATTGTATTAGATGTTCCTTTCTCAACATACCTGAGATCTGCAGCAGGGATGTGGGACTGGATGAAGCACGTCAGCGTGTCTCGAATGATTCTTTCAAGCTCCATGTCTCTCTAAACCTTTTTCTCTAAAAAAGAGGAAAAAGAAAACTCCATGTAATTTGCAAAGGCAAGAAGTAGCTCAAGACGACCAAAAGGTAAGCACGGTATAGGCAAGAGTGCTTCTCCCATCAGAACAACTCACAAACTCCTCCACTGTGTCTTGTCATCCCTGGGTAACAGCAGGCAAAGACATCCACAAAAAGCAGCAGTATGAAGATCCAACTGGAAATACCAGCCCAAAGCTGCTCCTGTTGATGCTGGCAGTATGCAGCTTACTGGACATTTAAAATGTCCCCTCCAGGAAGCAAAGCTGGAAATGCAGATGTATCCAGCTGCAGGACCTCAGGGATGCCTCCTGAGCTGGAACATTGTGCTGCCTGGCGAGGAAGCAGCGAGTAGTGGGTTTGCATGCTCAGTGCAGAAAGGGGTGGACCTTCCAGCTCAGGACTCAGGAACGAGTGGGAGGAAGGGTAATGTATCCTAAAGAAAGGACAACCTAGAGCATATTTTACAGGGAAATACCAAGCAGGGCACAGACATCTAGTCTGCCAGCCAAAATATCAAAGGTCTCCAGATCAGGCACGGACTGCCAGTGGAATCCTGCCCAAACAGGAGCCCGTTGTTGTGCTCGGTAAATGAGCCATTCTGCAGTTGATGGGGCTGCAACAAGGGGTGCTTGATAACTCAGAACTCAGGGGAGTTCTAAGAATCACAGAGCTCCTACAGAAGCAATGGCAGCAACGCCCACAGCCCTCCTTCAGCTACCAGTACTGGGCCTGGACTGAATTGGGAGGAGAAAAGCTGTTCCTTAAGCATTCCTTCCCCTGGGGTCCACAAAGCTGCTGGATGGACAAACTCCTGGTATAAGCACCGAGCTCTTCCAAGGAAGGAAACTAGCCCTGTGTGTAGAGAAACTGATGTGGTCTTCGGCCAGAGCGCTTCCAAAGGTCATCATGCTCCCACCAGTCCAGCTCCCTCATTCCAACCGCACCAGGACCTGACAGAACTTACGGAGCAGTCCTGTGAGTTGCTGAAAGGCGATTCCCATGTTCCCATGGGAATCAAAAAGGTTTGGCTTTTCCCGAGATGAGACTTCCAGACCTAGCAGGATATAAACAAAACCCCACGGCACTCAGCACTGCCCTTGCAAGGACCTAGAGAGACCAATGCCCAGCAGCCTGTTGGCAGGTCCATCTGCAGTCTCGGGGCCCATTCAAGCTCTGTGCTGCACTTGGCCACCACTGCAGGTGCCAAGAGCAGGCATGCACTCCTCTGTTTGCAGCTGGCCAGGGGAGCACACCCAAGCCAGCCAGACCTGCCTCTGGCTATGGCCACATTGAGGCTCTCGATATTGAGGGAGAAAGCTGTGACACTGAGGCTTATGCAGAAGTGCTCTGCTGGGTATATGGCATGCCACATTGCATCTCCCTGCAGTGATTCTGTCAAATATTCCCAGTCTGTGGAATATTTGTCTCTTCTACTCTTCAGGGCTTTGAACAGATGCAGGTTTTGCTACCTGAAGGACCATCCCTTACTGAATTGCTGTGTCGGTGCCATTCCCTTGGGGCAGTAGGGAGACAAATACGGAAAGAACCTCACAGCAGTGGGACACAAACAGTGAGATGTACTCATATAGAAGAACTGTCCCAATTTTCACAGTGTTCAAAGCTAAAACACAACCGCCATCTAATCACCTAAACTTTCCTGCAGCCACTATTAGTATCAACCCTCCCACTGATCTAGATCCAGTAGTTAAAAAAGGAAACAAACCCTTCTTTACATGTGCCTCTAACCCAAGGAAATGAACAATGAGTTAAAAACGCCGTACCACTATATGACCAACATACATGTATTCAAACACAGCATGTGCAAAAACAGCCAGAGGAAGGCATCATCAGAAAGGATTGTTTGCTGTTTCTGTCTTAAGCTAAAAAAACTCTTTGCCTCCTGTAATTTCAATTAGAAAATTCCCATTTCACAGCATTAGAGGAAAACAACAGCCCAGACTTTTTCAGGTAGGGGCTCTTCACACAAACACACAAAGTGAGCTCCTGAGCTGCTTTTATTTTTCAGCCTCACGAGGATCCTTTGTTTGCATTTTTCTCACTTTGGCAAATGTCATGGCCTGCAAGTATGGAAGCTGGCTGTAAAAACAACCATGTGTAAAAACACCTTCCCACTGCCCATTTGTTGTTTCTATGTGTTTTGTGTGTTCTCTAGTGGTGAGACAGAACCAAGTTTACCTTTGTCATCTTTGCAACATACCCAGAAAAAAGGTGAGCTTTGTTCTATCCTTCTCAGACATCAAAAAGCCAATGATAAGATTTTGAATCTCACTGTTGGCAAGAATACTGTCCTAAGCAGCATGTTTTTCCCCCATTTTAAGCTGAATCTGCAAATGCTGGCAGCCACCAAGCCCCCTGAACTTGCAAGTACAAGAAAAGTAATTTTCTTTTTTACAGAAATCAGGGATGGGAAATCAACATAGAGCAGTCAAAAAGTTCTTACTACAGTCACTACTACCAAGAAGAATGCTTATTTCTTTCTTATTCAGAGTCTTCATGACATCCTGGGAACTGGAAGTCTAAAAGATTTTGTCCATTTCCATGAAACAGGCCAATATTCTATAAGATATAACTATATAGTAACCAATACCATTTCCTGACAACCCAATTACCTGAACAACAGAGCACAATTCACCATGTCAAAACCACTTTTGTGAGGTCCATAAATTAGCTGCTGGTAATTTATTCTGATCAATAGAACAGGCAGAGTCACTCATCTCCTTAATCAAAGGCACTTGCAGGCAAGTGTCAGACTGGGACATGAGAAACACAGGAGAAAATAATTCAGCAACATGAGTATTGCAGCTACAGCCAGGCACTAACTAGTGTTGAATCCACTCCCTGACCTCTGACTACCACAAGAAATGCTGGTATGAAGTGTTTGAAAATATTCAGGTATTTTCCAGTGGAGTTACAATGCTGGATCTGAACAAAAGCTATTTCCTTGTGTCTGAGAGTAAGAAGGCAGCAGGTTTTAACCATTGGGTATAAATGCTCTCTGGCATCTCAGACAAATCCATCCACCAGCACACTCAGATTTAAGGTTTATATACGGAGAAGGCAAGCTGCCACCTTTAGCCTGCCTTTGAAGAAATGAAACCCTTTGAACGACAAAAGCACAACCCTACACTGAAGGACAGAAAGCAGCTAGATGATCAGGTATTTTCTGAAAGGTCAACCATCACCCCTTCACCTGAAGAACCCACCTCTGCTCCTATAAAATCAGAGACAGTGAGAGAGACAAATGCACTTGCATTTGATCACTTATTGCCACAGGGGAGAGATTTTATTCCTCGGTAAAGAGACTGTCCTTACAAAACCTAACATCTTGGGGATCTGTAGTGCACAATGGTCTTGGCCAAATGAGACGTGTGGAAGACAAGTCATGAAGGTCCTCCAGCCTTTCAGGTTCAGTGGGTATTTTCTTGAAATAGAAGGATCTGATTAAAAAACCTTTGTACAAACATTTTAAAATAGATTCTTCAAGGAACAAACTGATGTTGCTGCATGTTCCTCCCCACATTTAGAATTACTAACTCAGGACACCAAACCACCTCATGTATTATACCTTCAAATGCCACATTTTTCCAGTGGTGACCTGCAATAGTTAAGGGGGACATTTACTAGAAGGGTTTATCCTATGCACACAGTTTTGTGGTGGAGTGATTTATAACGCACAGAACCATCTAAAACCCAAAGGCAGGAGAAATCACTCTCCTGAGAGCTCAGTTTTACTGAAAAGGTGTTACCACCATTTTAAACTTGCAGCCATAATTGCATTGTGGATTTTAAGATCACTTCAGTAGTTTTCAGCTGATTTAAACATATCTATGAAAGTCCTTCTGCATTTCTTGTCATTATAATGTGGGGTCTGCTTAACATGTTGCACAGAATCTATTTTTTTAAACATATGGTCAAGAAATTATATTCCTATTGCTCTGCCCTCAGAGCCTCAGAATTTTGCAATGTCAGAACGAGAGCTTCAACCCTTGGAAATCCTTGTCACTTTTAATACAGTCTTTAAACACCAGGTTTTATTATTAAAGAGTGAGCAGTGGAGCACTGTATGTCATCTCATTAAGACAGGCTTGGTTTCAAATATTACGACTGTTTACTTGATCCACATAATGTCACATGGCATATGTATTTCCTCACCTCAGGCAGAGGAAAGTGGTATCAGTTCTCAAAATGTGAAAGTGAAAATTATTCACTTTCTATGCTAGATACTTTGGCCAGCAGCTCAACAGAGTTTGCCACCCTACTGTCTGTCTTGAGAACCTGATAATTGCCATCACCTTGCATTTTCCTTCCTAACATGTTAATGTCAAATTTGGTGGGTTTTTTTTTGTAAAACAGCTGTGGAAATAACAGTCTCTAAAGTACAATTACCCTGGTAATATAATGGTAATATCCTGGTACCATCCTGTGATGTCTGAAATATCTACTTATGCTATATTCAAGAAAAGTTGGCTTCTTTTTGTACAATTCATATGAATATGCCTTCATTAAAAAAAAAAAAGGGTGAAAATCTGTAGTGTTTGCATACCGCGAGCTCATTTCCGAAGGTTCTTTCAACTCAAATTTCAGTAATTATTCTCAAATGGTCAATGTGATGGGATGGGAATGATTGATTGTGCCTTGGACTTTATATTAACAAGACAGACTTGAGGAGAGCAATTTAGGAAAATGTTTCTGAGCTAAGAGGAACTGCCACTTGGATGTATATCAACTTTTATGAGATCATAAATTTGCCTATCAATGAGCTGAGGTTTCTGCAAGTGGAAGGAGATGGGTGTTGTACACTCAGACGTTTCTCAGGTTAGAGAAAGTTTAGGTAAATCTGATTCAGCTGAGGGATTGACTAAAACGGCTTAAGAAGGTTCCTTTAGCTCAAGTTTCAGTAATTATTCTTAAGTGAGTAAGTAATGGGACAGGGATGGTTCACTGTGCTCTCTCTGAAAACCTGTTATGAGAAAGCACAGAGCACTT